TACCGTCTTCACCCGAATAGAACACCCAGTCATTATAGCGGCATTTGGCACAACTTTCAGTCCAGATGCAGCGATAATGAGCGGTAGCTTCAGTTGGTAGGGGGATGAACATGGCATACTTACTAGACCTATCCTCAATAGTCAATACTCATTACCTGAGAGTTCCCACTTCGACTTTTCACATGAGTAATAGAGTATCCTGTTACGATCCTGGCCAATTTCGAAGTATACAATCATCAGAAAGTACAATGCCATCCAATTGCAAAAAGAAATGAATGAACTTGAGAGAAGAGAGAGGGAAAGAAGAAGAGGAAGAATTAATAAAGAAGAAGAAGAAGATGATGTACTCCAGCATAGACCAATGACAAGGCTCTTCTTCTTCGCCAACCAATCTCCTCCTCCTTATCTCCTCCCCTCTTATTCAACAAGAAATAGCAATGATAATGTTGAATGGCTGACCCAGAATCAATGTCCGAATCCCACTTCTACTGCAGGCACAACATGAGGTCCACCATAGCCCTGGCCACCCTTCCTCTTCCTCTACATACAGGCTGAGGCTATGGCGGTACTGAGGGCTCTCCCTCCTGTTCAAAGGACAACCCAAAGCAGCTATGTCGTTGCCCTTCTGTCCCAGGGTCAACACCATGCAGCTATGCCGCTGCCCACTCAACCGCCATGCCTGACTCTGTCCCGAGCTCCCTTGATGCGGCACTACCCCACTGGGGCCTTCCTGATGCAGCGCCTAGCAAGGTGATGAAGATGGTGTCTACCATAGCCAGGTAAGTACCTCACCACTCTCCTCCTTGGTCCCCTTCTCCCTTCTCCTTGTGCCGGTAGAGCTCCACCATAGCCAAGGTGGAAGCTCCCGGCTTCTTCCTCCCACCAGCGCTGTAGTACCCAGCGCCACTCCAGCCAGCGCTCCTGCAGCGTGTCGCCAAACTTGCACACTGAAGAATGAGGCTGAGCTCTTGCCTCGGCCTCTTGATATAGCGGCTTGCTTGCATCCTGGGCGGTTACTTCCAGGCCGCTCGGCCTCCCAAGCAACCGGTACCTCCTCCCTTTCGGAGGGAAACATCAGTGCAGACTCTGATATTGCCCGTACAGGCTCTAGACTCAGACTGGATGGACTGGTACCGGCCTAGACCTAGCCTACCGCTACTGGGCCTCTAAAAATGCCAACTTTGTCTTCTTCTGCTCGGCCTCGAGTACCCGGCACATCTACTGCTACTGGGTGCGGTACCGGCCTACCGGCTACTTGAGTGTTTTTCCGCTGCTCTAAGCATCGCAGGGCCCTGGCTCCGCTACTTGAGTGTTTTCCCTGCTGCAACCCTCAATGCCACGGCCACAGGTAAGTACCGGCCCCGGGCCTTCCAAACAAGCAAATACCCTCGCGGGTCACACACACACTCATGCCGACAAGCACTCAGACAGGCACGCAAGTCCACAGGCACACACACATACAGACTTAGAAAACACAGCAGAATACGGGAATCTCAGCAAGGCATCCATTCCATCGGCAGAACTTCAGAAATCAGCAGTGTTCTAACTTCTCAGTCTGTTTTATGGCGGGTCATTACAATCCATGAAGTCCATGGAGATGGACTCTCCAGGACCCAAAGGAATAGGTAGTTAGTAACCCCGGGGGAACCTAGGTTCTAGACTTGTTCCTCTGACAGACTTCGCAGACTCTGACATAGTCTATACAGTCAGACTTCATCCCTGCTCACGTAAATTTTTCTATTAACGTTACAAAGGTCTTCTTCCATTCAAAGTGTCCCTGTAGATCATGACAGTACTTAAAAATCAGACTTTTCACAGATTCTCTATTAGGTATATACACTCTTTCTCTGCCTTTGGATGAGAAAAACAGCAACCCATCTCTTACTCGATATCCGGGTGCCTCTGCAGGATTAAGTAGCACATTGTTCTATCACGTCAGTCAGTGCAGGAGCAGATTTATACGCTTCTCTTCTCCTCCCCCTGATATTTATCATCCGCTAGATCTAATCCTATGATGACTGCAGCGAAATGATCACCCCTCCTACTCAGCGTATCAGTACTTCCCTTTGAGAATCTTCAACTCAAAATCAATGGTATTAATGACTTGTGACCACCTAGGTTGTTTATTCGTCAATCTGGGCTGCGTTTTCAGCCACTACAGGGGCTCATGGTTTGAGTACACCTTGAAGTGTCTGCTTAACAAATAATGTTTCCAGGCTTGCAGGGCCGTATACAGAGCATGCACTTCAATTCCCTTTCATAGGTAGATGCTGCAGTTTTCTTATTGTGTAACCTCCGACTTAAGTATTCTAGTTTTCTTGGTCGATTTCTCGTGTGCGCCGTGCCCTCGCGTTGATTGGTCGTTGTCTGGTGCCTCCAGGCGCACCCCATGAATGCTTGAATACAAGTACAGAGGGGCGGATGCATATGGCAGGCCTGCTGCAGGGCATAGTGACATGATGTCATTCAAATACAAGGACATAGGGGCAGAAGCACATGGCGAGCCCACCTTTGAGGCATAGGGCATCGCTCCACTACTTACCACAGGCACGGAAGATAGAAAATATGGTGGCGTATCTTTCCACATTCTAGTGGAAGGTGTCGCATACCGTAAAGGTGCAGACCAGAACAAGAACCGACCTCTCTCACATAGTACAAGATAGCGCAGCGGAAGGCTAATATACCAATGACCCG